AAAAAAAAAAAAATAAAAAAAGGTAGCAAATGCCGTTCAATTGAGTGAACACATAGGGGGAGGCCCACACATAAATGAACGGTCACAATGGAGAAATATGCCAAATTGGCATTTAAATTAACTTGAACGGGCATTGAACGCCTGCAATGCGAGTGCCCTTATGTTAGTAATACACGTTGGCTTGACGTGTCTTTTCAGTCTGAATTAAGTTCCAACTATAATTATCCTACTTTTAATTGAATTTTAAAAGATACGAGACTAATTTTGAGAAATTATTCCAATTAGGCCGATAGTGAAACAATCTTATGGTTGATTTGGATATTTCCCGCTCATAATTAAATTTGTTCAAATCCAATTACAGATTTCTTGTAATTGTTACATCTTTTATATTTATATGAGGTCAATGATTACACTTATATATTTATTTTAGTAATCCATGTTTCAATTACTATAATGACTAGAATTGGATCATGAAATACCATATAATAAAAATTTTAAAATCAACAAAACCTCATTACAAAAAGTTCACCTTCCACTTTTTTTTTAAAAAAAAGAATAGTATAAAATAAAAATGTCTATAAGAAGCTATAGCACAGTACTAAACACACTACAATCTATTTATCCAGGCACAATGATGAAGATCATACTCATATTATTTATCATCGCGCTCAATACCGTCCAAATTTCAGCACGAATTTGTATTTTCACAAACAAAATTAGGGTTCATGTGATTAGCAATCTCCCTCCGGATTCCGAGCCGTTGACCGTGCGCTGTCAGTCGAAGGACGACGAGCTTGGATACCACACGCTTTTGCCTAATCAAGATTTTAACTGGTCGTTTTGCGAGCGTGTGTTTGCTCATACTTTATTCTTTTGTCATCTGTGGTGGGGACAGAAACAAGTGTCCTTCGATGCATTTCGTGCACAAAGATTTAAAATCTCCAAAACTCATCATTTTTGGATAGCTAACCAAGCTGGTATTTATTATAGCTCAGATTACCCCAAAGACAATAGTTCTATGACTAAACGTTATGATTGGAACTAAAATGTCAGGTGAAAATGAAAAGTTGGGCTACTTGAATTTGTCGTGTTTGTAATTTTTTTAATAACTAATAAAGCTAAATTGAGACCCAATCAATTTTTTTTTTTTTTGAAATTTTTATTTGTTTTTTAAGTTTGCTTGTGAGGCAAAAAAAAAAGTTTTTTTTGCCCTCACGAGTGACGGGGCTTTAACTAACTCGGTCAGGAAAAAAAGAAAATGTTATTTGTAGGCATTATATTATCCATCGAAATTTAACAAGCCGTGTTCAATTTCAGTTTATGGAAAGATGGCAAAATAAATCCTCCCCTCCCTATATATAATTTCCGAATGCGCTGAGCCTACATGGTTGCTCCTGCTGCTTCAGAATCCTATTTGGCGAAGAATCATCCTTCGTAACTAGATTTGAATAAATAATATTGATATATTATTAATTAATAATTTAGGTTCGGGTATTCCATAAATATTATTTAACTAACTTAGGTATTTTAATATCACTTTTACTAATAAAACCCTTTAATTCTTTGTAATTTTATATAGTGAGCCACTAAGTGACTAATATATCTCTGAATTTTGATTTATTTCATTCAATAATGAATTATAAATGTATTTTAAAAGTTGATAACTTTTATATTTTTTATCGGTTTTACATATATAATATATCAAATTAATCATCTTTTGATTATCTTCGATTTGACATCCATATTGTATATATGAAATAAATAAATTATATTTATCTTAATAATATTAATAAATAATAATATTTATTAAAATTTATTAGAAAAATAAAATTATTTCTCAATTGGTATATTTATATGTAATGTAGTTATATATTGTAAGTTAAAAAAATTAGTATAATATAACACAAATAAGTTGCACAAATAAAAAGTATCATAATAAATATATAGTAATATATATATTTTTATAAAAAGTATTTAAATTTTCAAACTACTTTTTTTCATTAATTTTAGAATTTAAGAAAAAAATTAGCAAGAACCCGTGTAATACACGGGTGTTGTACTAGTTATATATAATTCCTGAATGCGCTGAGCCTACGTGGTTGCTTCTGGTGCTTCGGAATCCTATTTGGCGAAGAATCATGCTTCGCAATTAGGTTTGAATAAATAATATTGATATATTATTAATTAATAATTTAGGTTCAGGTATTCCATAAATATTATATAGCTAACTTAGGTATTTTAATATCACTTTTACTAATATAAACACTTTAATTCCTTGTAATTTTATATAGTGAGGCACTAAGTGACTAATATATCCCTGAATTTTGATTTGTTTCCTTCAATAAGATATTGAATTATAAATGTATTTTAAAAGCTGATAACTTTTATATTTATTATCGGTTTTACATATATAATATATCAAATTAATTATCTTTTGATTATCTTCGATTTGACATCCATATTGTATATATGAAATAAATAAATTATATTTATCTTAATAATATTAATAAATAATAATATTTATTAAAATTCATTAGAAAAATAAAATTATTTCTCAATTGATATTGATATGGGATATTATATGCTAGACCGGTTCG